GACCTCATGCTTGCCAGGCAGGCACTGAGCCATTGAGCTATATCCTTGGCTCTGTATTTTTAAAATGTAAAGCTATGGATACAAATTATTGCTATCTATCTATCTATCTGTCTGTCTGTCTGTCTGTCTATTTTTGGTCTTCTTGAGATGGGGTCCGGCTATATAATCCAGGATGGCCTTAAAATCATTATGTAGCCAGGTTGGCCTCAAATTCTCATGACCCTCCTGCCTCAACCTCCTAAGTACTAGGATTACAGGCATGTGCCACCATGGCAGCTCTAAAAGGTGCTCTGATATGAGTGTCTGAAAGGATCAAGATGGAACCAACAGTCTGTTTCTGAATTATCATTTAATAGACAGTTTCTTTTTAAATAGTCTATTCCTTGAGTTGAATCTTTAGCTGCATTATACATTAACTCTAGAAGCACATGAAACAAATGTCATGCATGGTTTGAAAAGAATTTCTAAAGCCTTAACTTTATATGACTTTTTCTTACAACTTATTTACCTGAAGATGTTCTTATTAGTCTTTTCATTGTGCTATTTTCCTTTCCCACCAAACCATAATTTTGTACAATAATTAACCTAAGAGATATTTTTCTTTCTCCTGTTTTTCAAAAGAAAAGCTACTTCTTAGCCATTTTAAAACTTTCTAAGGTGCACTGCCTGGCTAGGATGTAAAAATTTCTAGATGCTAATGCACTTTAGTTTTAAGAGTAGCTACTTTAAATTGAGGCACCCTATAACAGAAATCCTGTTTTTTACTTATTGGATTCAAGTACATTACAGAGTGAAGAAGGAATTATAATAATTTTTATTATTTTAATTATGTATAATTTTACAGCAAGAAAAACCTCATTATGTTTGATGACATAGCATGAAATTTCCTAATGAACCCACAGAATGGGCTAAAGATAAGCCCTTTCATGAAAGCACACCTAGTTAAAACAAAGAATTTTTTAAATTAACTCATTGCCTCAAAGAAATAGCTAAATTAGATTTTTGGAGCTAAATAACAAATACTGGGAAATGTATCTCTCAAAGATGCAATGACAGTTAACCTGAAGATATCTGAAGATGTTTGAATTCCATGAACTTTGTGCTTTTATGCTAGAAATCATGATAGTGCTGGACAATGAAGTAAATATCAGACTGCTTATCCTTGGTCTTCTAGGTTTTTTGTAAATTTACTTTTATATTTTTGATAATCATAGCAATATGCTTTTAAAAAATCCTTTTTCCCCTCTATGATTATACTGTTACTGTTGAAAATATTTTTTCTGGTGGGATTACTGAGGTGTTTCCTACTAAAAGAAAAAAAAAAAGAAGAAGAAAATATCATCAGGGTTTTTCCCTTTAAAGCAAGCAAACAAAAGTTTCTGAGTAAAGCACCTGGTTATTATGCACCTGGTCATTAAAATCACCAAAAAATGTTTTTGTTTTGTTTTGGTACCAGGGATTGAACTCACAATCTCACGCTTACCAACCTGGCATTTTTGCTATATTATTTCCAATGCTTACATCTGCAGATATGCATGTGACCACTGTTTTGTGTTGATAGTACTGCTTTATACAGTTCTTGTATTTGAAAGGAATTGATTCTTTTAAACATGGTGTATATTGGTTGTACAGGACTATTTCAGTAAATAATAAATTTCTTTTGAAAAAAGGAACATAGCTTTAGCGGACAACAATAGTGAAAACTTGTTAATGTTTATGTCTATGAAAGGGAGGTGAAGCCTGGTTTCCAGAGTCACCTCAGTTCTTTGTTTTGAGCCAGAGTCTTGCTACGTAGTTCAGACTGGACTTGACCTCACTATGGAGCTCAGGATGGCCTCCAACTTTGCAATGATCCTCCTACCTGGGCCTCCCAAATTCTGGGACTATAAGTGTGTGCACCCCACCCAACTCATCTTTTTTTTTTTTTGTTCTGTTATTTTTTGAGATTGGGTCTCACTATGCAGCCAGGTTGGCTTTGAAATCATGGCGATCCTCTGCTTCCACCTCATTAGCACTGAGATTACAGGACTGTGCCATCACACCTGGCTCCTCAAGTTTTAAAATTAATATACAATGCTGATATTCTACTGTTACTTCCTGAACACATATATTTTTGCTATTAATATAAACATTAAGCATACAAACACAAAACAAAAAGTTTTCATCCTATATTTGCAATTAAATCATTTTATCTAAGCATATAGAACATTCTTAGGTTTCCTGCTACCATCCACCCTTAAATTATTTAATACAGGAAATATATATTAAGATGAGTTCATGGCAATGCTAAGCAGTGGTTAAAAGCCAGACTTGAGTGTGAAACCCAGCCTTATCATTTATTTACTTGTGGAACTTGAGGCATATTATATAATCTCCCTTTGCCTCATTTCATTTTTTCTATAATGGGGCTGATAAAAATACTTATAAAGTGATTGTGAAGATGAGATTAGTACATTTGTACAATACAAGAACAGTGCCCAGCACCTAAGTATTAGCCATTATTAGTGAAACTGGTTAAGACACCTGTGGTGTCTACACCAAACATTCTTCATATTTTCATCAAAGTACATTTATAGTATGCCAGCCAATGTGCTAAATGATACAGACAAAATTGAAAAGAATATAGTCCTTAGCCGGGCGTAGTGGCTCACACCTGTATCCCCAGCACTCGGGAGGCTGCGGCAGGAAAATCGTTGCAAGTTCGAGACCAGCTGAGGCTACAAAGTGTGCTCAAGGCCAGCCTGAACTGCATAATGAGACCCTGTCTCAAAAAGACAAAAAAAAAAAAAAAAAAAAAAAGAGTATAGTCCCTGCTCTCCAAAGTGTCATTAGGGGAACCTTTTCATATGAAGGAAGATAAACATGAAAGTAATGTGACAACATAAACAAATGTATGGTGTTAGTTGAATAAATTAACCAAAATTGGGGCTGGGGATTTAGCTCAGTGGCATAAGCACCTGCTTTGCAAGCAGGCGGTCGTGAGTTCGATCCCTGGTACCGATAAAAATGAAAAAGACAAAAAAAAAAAAATTAACCAAAGTTACTTCTTAATAGAAGTTTAAATGAAGTATTGTAAAACTACAAAGAAGAAAATATTTAATTTGGACAAGAGGTTCCAGAGAAGACTTTTTGGAGAATGTGACTTTTAATTTGGATATTAAATAAGAAGTAACTCATCAAATAAATAAAGAGTAAAGGCATTCAAAATAGAAGAAAAGTTGTGGTAAAAATACCTTGTTTTTTTTTGCTTTTAAGTACTGGTGTTCAAACCCAGGGCCTCATAGTAATGAACTTCTCTACCCTTGAGCAAGATACTGCTATCCTTAAATATTCTCCTCCACAGTGAATAGCTTAGAGAAAACTAAACACAGACATTTCTATGATCTACTACTTTTTTTTTTTTCTTTTTTTATCGGTACCAGGGATCGAACTCATGACTGCCTGCTTGCAAGACAGGCGCTTATGCCACTGAGCTAAATCCCCAGCCCCTATGATCTACTACTTTATATGCATCTTTAACTTATGATTACAGAAGAACAAAATATATCCCATATTTTTTCTATACGTCATTTCCCAATGTTTCTATATTACCTTATTCTTTTATGTGTTATTATATTTCCTAGGCACAAACAAGGTATACTGTTTTCTGCTATATTTGATCTAAAAGGTCTTTAAGTAATAAAAGAAGCATAATATTTAAATTCTTGTAAAAAGGAAAGATAATATGTCAACCTACTTTTTAAATGTAATTCTTTTGGAGAGGGCTGTTTTGTTTTGTTTGAGACAGGGTTTTGCTGTAGTTCAGGCTGGCCTTGAACTCATTATATTGCCTAGGCTGGCTTTGCACTCACAATGTAGCCCAATTTGGCCTTGAACTCATGGTAATCCTCCCGCTTCAGCTTCCTGAGTGCTGGTATAGGTATGTGCCAAAACATAATTCATTTTAATTTAACCCGAGTTTCTTTTTTTTAAATTTTATTTAAAGAAAGACTAAACAAAACAGAAAACAGGTAGAAATAATACATACTTTCAAAGAAAAAATAAACAGTAAGAAATCACTAATTGATGATTACATATTGTCCTCTTACAAATAGTTGTTCAAGATATAAAAGTGAAACATACAACGTGGGGATTCAAACAGCGAGACAGCAAACGGTTCTGTTCAACTCTCCAACAAAAACTTAGTAATATGGTTATCAATCCTATACACTTAAAACATACATGCAGTTATCCGTACCTTCATTTATGTTGAGATTAAACAAACCATAGCGGCTAAAATCACTCTAAACAAAGAAAAATAGTACTGCTGGATTTTACATCATGACACTACAGGATCAGCACTGGGTACTGTGTAGTGTCTCTTTTTCTTCAAAGTTTTGTTCATTTCATCATGCATTATAAGATCAGTTCTCGTAAACTGTTTATAGGTTCTATGCATGCATGAGTCTTTTTTTATTTTAAAGAGGGTGAGATTAAACAGAACAGAACAGATCATAAGGAAACAATTTTAAGAAACACGGATTTCAAAGCAAGTCCACTGCAGATCTTCATTGTCTATCTTATATTCTCTAGTTTTCTTCCACGTAGTTGTCCTCATCTTCACATGCATTGAATACATACTGAACATTATAGAACTAATCTAATCATAAAAGGATGATGAAGGCTTTTTAGGTCTTCAAGACCTCACACTGTAACCTGAGTTTCTTATTAATAATGTAAATAACATCTAACCAAGTAACTTTGTATAGACATGTTTGCATGTATACATACACATTTTTTTTTTTTTTGAGACAGGGTCTCACTATGAGGTTCAGGCTGGCCTTCAGTTCTCTAGGTAGCTGAGACTAGCCTCAAACTCACAGAGCTCCTCCATGTCAGCATCCTGAATGCTGAGATTACACCATCATGCCCGACACCTTTGTAGTGTATATTATAATTAACATAAAAACCTTTAAAAATAATTTTTACAGTCTATTACCATGAACAGATATGATACATACCTGTGTCTGAAGGACGTAAAAAGTCTGTATCACAGGTGAAAAATGTCTGATGGTCCTGTGCTGACAAGTTCATGTCATAGTATGTAAGTGGCTCTTTACCAGTTACCCAAGTGTATCTTTACCAAAACACAAGACAAATATTTGAATTGGATATGAGAAAACATCTGTCTGCTACAATGGACACTATTTAAATTCTCAAAATACACAACTACAATTTCTATTTCAGGATGTTATTATACTCAGTAAAACAAAAAGAAATAATCTTCACAAACTATCGAGAACTTGATAATAAAACATTATAAACCAAATAGGAAAGAATAAATTATTCAATAAACAGTGCTTTGAAAATTGTATTTAAAGGCGTAAGACCATTTGAGTTAGTCATATACCATATTAAATACATGGGATGCCAGGCATAGAGACTTGCACCTGTAATCTCAGCACTTTGGGAAGCTGAGGCAGGAAGATCACCACTTTGAGCCCAAACTGGGCAACTTAGTGATTTAGGGATACCTTGTCTCAAATAAGAAATTTTTTAAAACATTGGGAATCATGTAGTTCAATGTAGGTTCAATCTACACACACACACACACACACACACACACACACACACACACACACACTTTTTAATGAGTTAGCACTAAATATGAAAAGAAAAACTCCGCAGAAACTAAAAGAAAACACAGGTGAATTTTACCCCAATGTCAAGATGGTAAAGGGTTTTCATAGCATAAAACCTAAGAGCTGCTTTCCAGAGTTTATTAAAAATTTAAACTTTTACCACCTTCCCAAGCATACAATAAATTAATAGCAAGTTAATAGGGCTACTAACTACATTTTTAAATGTCAAATCCCTATGGGCACAAAAGTAGACAAGTGGATCAATGGAATAGAATAGAGGATACAGAAACAACTTCAGGCACATTTAGCTGTCTAATCTTTGACAATGGGGGCTAAAAATATACCCTTGAAGAAAGTAACCTCTCTAACAAATGGTGCTGGGAAAATTGGCTATTCACACGTGAGAGATGAAATTTAGACCCATACATCCCACTGTGTACTAAACTAAAATCAAAAGATAAAAGATCTAAATATTAAAACAGAAACACAATCTACTGGAAGGTAAAATAGGTAATAACCTTGAAGTCATAGATTTAGTCAAAGACTTTCTGAATGGAGCTCCAATTGCACAAGAAATAACATCAAGAATCAACAAATGGTATTATATCAAAAACTTTCTACACAAAGGAAACAGTCAACAGAGTTAACAGAGGACCTACAGAATGAGAAAAAAAAAAATTGCCAGCTATTCCTCACAGGACTAATAGCCAGAAAATATAAAGAACTAAAATAAACAAACAAACAAAAACTATCCAATCAGAAAATGGGCAACTAAAAATGAGCACAATTATAAGAAGTACAGATCAGGAGACTGTACCACCTAGGGCTGGGGAGGTGGGCAGGAGGTGGGCAAGGATAAAGCGGAGGTAGGGGCTGGCCCGGGGCACAGTTGAGACAACTCTGAGCCGAGGTTCAAGGTTAGACTCTGTGAGGAAGAGTCCTGTGGAAGAACTGGACTGAGAACAGTGTGGATCAGGACAACAGAAACGACTGAAAGATGAACTAAGGAAAACACTGGGCATGAGGCTGGCACCCAGAATGAGAGAGAGAGCTGCGGTGATGCAAGGAGCCTGACGGGTGCTGCTGGAAACACAACAGAGTGCTGGGCACATCACCCACCCCTTCTCTGACTGTGGCCACCACAATCTGCACCTCCACACTGTCACCCACTGTGACTGTGACTCGTAGTGAGGCTTCTGTCAGCCTCCAGAGTGCTGGGATTACAGGCATGGGCCGCCACATCTGGCTAAAAATAGCCACTTAAAAAGCACACGGCAAATATTACTTATATAATTAAAGATTTTAAGTTATTTAGTAGTATTAATTGGCTTGCTAAAGGTATTTGCACTGTTACAAAAGTTACAGCGAAGAAAAAAGGAAGTAAATTTCTACTTACCTATCAAAATTTGTCATTTATTCTTTGAAAATAAAGTCTGAGGTATACTCAATGATAGAGGACTTGTCTAGCACAGTTGAGAAACTGAGTTTGATTGCCCAGCACCACAAAGGATAACTGAATAAGACTTTAAAAAATCTTAACAAGTCACATTATTCCTAAAATGATTTAAAGCAGTTACAACATATGTAACATCAATAACCTAAATTAGAAGTAAAAAGATTCAATAATAGAAAAATAAGGATTGATAAATGGAACCTAGATGGGAGCTAACCTATGAAATACACATCAGATACACATACTCTTTCTAAGGGTTGGCTACAGTCTGGCTTTAAACTCTAAAACCACACAATGGTCAGAAACACAATTTAGAGCTGGGCATGGTAGCACATGCTTTTAATCTCAGCACTGGGAGACTGAGACAGGAGGATCACTGTGAGTTTGAGGCCAGCCTGCACTACATAGCAAGGCCCTCTCTCAAAAAATTAATTAATTAAATTTTTAAAAACCCAAAGAAAACAATTTAGAATTTTCATTAAGATAAATTAATCATTTTAAAGAGCATAAATATTCCTGGTTTTAAGAAATTCCTCTTAATAAACTGCCATATTTTCCATCATGTACTAAGCTAAAATCAGAATGGATCAAAGATCTTAATATCAAAATAGAAACATTAAATCTACTGGAAGATAGAGTAGGTAAAACTTTTGAAGACATTGGAGTAGGCAAAGACTTTATGAACAAAACCCCAATTGCATGGGTACTATCACAAAGAATCAATAACTGTGATCTTACTCTACTAAAAAGCTTTTGTGCGACAAGAGAAATCACCAACAGAGTGAAGAGACAACCCATAATGTGGGAGAAAATGTTTGCTAGCTGTTCCTCAGACAAAGGATTACTATTGAGAACATATAAAAACTCAAAAAAAGCAGTCTCTCAAATTTAACCCAATCCAAAAATGGGCATCTGAGATGAACACACACTTCTCAGATAAAATAGAGAATAGAAAATAAGTATGTGAAAAAATGTTCAACATCATGGGTCATTTGAGAGTTGCAAATTAAAACAACACTGAGATTCTACCTCACCCCAGAAAGAATGAGTAATAGCAAGAAATCAAGCAACAACATGCCAGAGGGGCTGTGGGGAAAAAGGAACCCTTCTCCACTGTTGGTGTGAATGCAAACTGGTGCAACCACTGTGGAAATCAGTGTGGACATTCCTCAAAAACCTAGGATTGGAGGTCCCATTCAACACAACTGATCCCCTTCTGGGTATCTTTCCAAAAGAATAAAAAAACATCATACCACAGTAATATATGTGCATACATGTTTATAGCAGCACAGTTTATAATAGCCAGATCTTGGAAACAATCTAAATGCCTACTGACTGAGGAATGGATAAAAAAAATGTAATACGTATTTTTTAAAAATGTGATATTTTTATACAGTGGAGTACTAGTCAGCATAAAAAAGATAAACTGGAGACTTTTATGAGAAAATGGATACAACTTGCAAACATACTTAGTGAAATAAGTAATACACACATGTGAAGAAGAAAAGAAATTCCTCTAAAAAAAAAAAAAAAGGAAAAGCCAGGGATATAGTTCAGAGGCATAAGCACCTGTCTGTCAAGCACAAGATACTGAGTTTAATTGCTGTACCAAAAAAAAAAAAGGAAAAAAAGAAATTTTCTTATGATCTGTATGAAATGTATTCTGTATAACAAGGAATAACATCAAAAACCTTATTAATAAACAGAGATGTTCAGTGACCTATTTCTTGCAAAATCATTTAATGTAAGTTAATGGCATCTCTTCTTAGAGTCTACTTTTTACTTTCTAGGATACTACATTACTAAAGTGCCAGGATTATCGCTTAACAATTTTTGTATCACCATCATTTTTCACAGTGCCCACACAGAGTAGACATGTTTTTTTGTTTGTTTGCTTAGTGAACTGAACAGTCTACTCCAATCAACCTCCAGGTAAAACACAACATCCTCAAAATAAAAATGAAGGTTAAATATCCTTGCTCATAAATATCTAAAAATATTTTCTTATATATAGTTTAAACTGAAAGAGAAATGGACAATTGTGTAGATGGGAAATGTCAATATAAAATCAATATAAAAAACACTGTGCCTTGTTCTATTATACAAATGAAGTTTACATTCACAATCAGATTTATGTTTTTTTAGTGAGTCCTCAAATATGTCAATCTTGAAACTGAGCACACATGCATAGGTACATGCTGGCACCCTTAACTTTACAAACAATCTTACAAATTCTTTTCAAAAGGCTTTTCTATCCAGGTATGGTGGTGCATACCTCTAATCCCAGTTACTCTAAAGCAAGACTCCAAATTTATGGTCAGTGTGGCCAAGACCTTGTCTTAAAATAAAACCAGCCGGGCGTGGTGGCTCAGCCTGTAATCCCAGCACTTGGGAGGATGAGACAGGAGGATTCTTGCAAGTTCGAGACCAACCTAGGCTACAAAGTGAGCTCAAGGCCAGCCTGGACTACATAGAAAAACCCTGTCCCTAGGGGCGGAGCTAAAAATGTCAGATCAGTAAGCAGCAAAATACAGACCCTCCCTGAGAGAAATGACTCAGACGCCAGAATAAGACATCCTGGAGAGGACCAGAGAGACCCTGTCTCAAAAAGACAAAAAATAAAATAAAATAAAGTAAAATAAAACCGGCTGGGGATGTAGTTCAGTGGTAGAGTGCCTGAGTTTAATGCACTGTACCACCAAAATTTAAAACTTTAAGACCCTTTCTAACATAATAAACTAGTGGGGGGTTATTATATACTTATTATTCATCACAACTTATGATTTGAAAGAATGTGTCTCACAATTATAAAAGTAAACACAGATAAGATGCGGCCAACTAAACCTTGAGCTAATCATTTCATCTTATTATACTGAAGAGGCTGTGTTACACATTTATAAAAACAAGCTAAGGATTTAGCTCAGTGGATAAGCACCTGCCTGGTAAGCACAAGGTCACAAGTTTGATCCCTGGTACCAAAAAACAAAAACAAAAAAACCCAAATGTTTCATGGTACTTTTACTATAAGACCAATATCATACTTAAAAGCAAAATGTTAATACCTCCTATATTCTGCTCCTCTGAAAAGGTTTAAAGGGTTTCGCCACACTTTGCATTCTGAAAAACAAGAGGCAAAACGAGAGTTTACTCAAATGAAGTTAAATCTTCATCTAACCAACATTTATTGCCTACATACTGTATGCTAAGTACAGAAACAAAAGAAGCATGAATCATCTCTGCTTTCGAGAAGCACATAATTAAATCTAGTCCCTTATTTCTGTCTCCACAGTATTAGGTTCATAATTCAGTTTTAGCACTTACAATATGACAAATATTACAAATTTACAATATTATAAACACAAATACGAACTCTTAAAAATGTTCACTTTTATCTTCATAGAATCTACCACACCATCTAGAACTGACTTGTTAAACTGAATTAAATATACTAAGAGTCATGTAAACAATGGACTTATCTATGTGATTAGTGCTATTGTAAAGTAATGTTCTGTTCCAAGACAAAGAAAAAGAATAATTAATTTTTCTCTGGGGAAATGAGAGAAGGCTGTAGAGAAGAGTTGACATGTGAACTGACAGTGAATCAATATAAAAGATTAATAGAAGGCTGCAGATGAAGAACATTCCAACATGAGGAAGTATAAAACCGCACAGCAGCTGGGCATAGTGGTACAGGCCTGTAATTCTATTCTTTGGGAGGCTGATGAGAGGATCACAAGTTTGAACCTAGCCTGCAACTAGCAACTCAGGGAGATACAGCTCAATGCAAAGGCCGTGGTTTCAACAGCTAGTACTACAATAAAACAAAAAAAAACAACAAAAAAAGAAACTGCACAGAATGCTTGGTGATTTTTCTTTTGCAATAAAATGTATTAATATTTAAGATATGTATAACTAAATGAAAAAGTACTTCCCAAATAATCAAAGTATGATATTCTAAAATTATTCAAAAGACATTTATTCAAAATGTAAATTTATTCAAGGCTCATGAATGAATTTTAAAAACAAATGCGAAGTTCAGGTTCCACACTGAACTAAATTTTCAGAAGTACTTCTTAGCAAGTTTTGATATAATAGAAAGAATATCCATAATTTCCTGAAAAGGTTATTAAAATCTTCCTTCCTCTTCTAATTACCTCTCTGTGTGAAACCAGATTTTGCTCATATACTTCAATGAACATAATATAACAAACAGGACAGAAATGGCATGAGAATGCTGTCAAAGGATTTAAATAAATATAAATACTTCCAGTCTCCTGACTGAACTTTTCTTATTTCAGGGAAAAAATTTATGATATATGTATTAGTTATCTTGGACTGCCATTTAAAAAAAAAGTACTTCAGACCACATAGTTTAAACACACTTTGAAGAGACTCGTCTTTTTTGAAGGTAGTACATATTTGTAGCTGAATACCTCTATGGTCCAGTCCTAAGGAATGCAATATTCTTTTCTGCGCTGCTCTGTTCATCCCCGCCTCCTCTGTCTTCCTGTGTGTGTATGTGTGTGTGTGTGTGTGTGTGTGTGTGTGTGTGTGTGTTGTGTAATGGACACTGAACTCATAGCCTTCATACTGAACTATGTTCCCAGCCCCCCTTTTTTAAATTTTGATACAGGGTCCTGCTAAATCACTAAGTTGCCCAGACTGGGCTTGAACTTGCCATCCTCTTGCTTCAGCCTCCCAGTGAGCTAGGATTATACGTGTGTGCTACCTCACCTGGCTTAGGTTCCTTTTTTATTTAACAATTCCTTCTTCAGTCTATATTTCCTCTTTCATACTTAACAGTAAGTAGCCAAAAGGAAACAAGCTGGTACTTCCACACTTTGCTTGGAAATATTCTCAGCTATATATCCAACTTCATTGTGTTGAATTCCACTATTCACAAAATGCAGAATATAGTTTATTCAAATTCTTTTTCTTCTATAACAAGGATCATTTTCCCTCTAGTTTCTTACAACATAGTCTTTGTTACCACCTAAGATCTCACCAGAACCATCATGAATTCCGTATCTCAGGCATGTATCTCAAAACTCCCCCAGACTCTACCCATAACTCAATGTTACAACTATTTCCATATAGTCAAGTATTTATTATAATGTACCACACTTCTTGGTACCAAAATCTGTACCTGTCAATTCAAGTTTCCATAACAAAACGGCTTAAACAAAAGGAAATGTATTACCATAAAACCTAGAGGTTAGAGGTCTAAAACTCAGGTGAAGATTCTCTGCTTGGCTTGCAAATAACCTTCTTACTGAGTCCTCCTCATATGTAGGCAGAGATATAATCTCATTTAATCTTAATTACCTCTTAAAAGTTGCATCTCCAAATAAAGTTATACTGGAGGTTGAAACTGCAACATATTCACTTGGGGAAGAGAATTCAGTTTATATGAATATGTAATAGCTTTATTGTTACTTTCAAAAGTTAATAAATTTTGATGGGCCAGGGATTTAGCTCAGTGGTATAAGCACCTGCCTGGCAAGAATGAGGTTGTGAATTCAATCCCCAGTACCCCCCCCCAAAAAAAAGTTAATAAATTTTGAGATTTCTGCTTTAATTTTCAGTATAATAATGATGAACATAATTCATATGTAAATATAGGTTATTCAAGGTCTTCAATAATTTATATAAAGAACTCCAGCCTGTACTATAAAATTAAATGCCATTCTCAAAAAAAAAAAAAAAAAGAATTCCTGTATCCAAAAAGTTTGAGAACTTTTTTTTTCCAGATGTAGGGCTGCAGTTATTACATGCCAATCAAGCACTTTACTGTTGAGTTAAATCACAAGTCTCTTTTAAATTCATTTCATTTCATTTATTTTTGAGACCTTAAATTGCCCAGGCTGGTGTGGAACTTCTGATTCTCCTGCCTCAGTTTCCTGAGAAATTAGGATTATAAATATGTACTACCACAACAGTAAGAATCATTCTTTTTTACACAATAGTAAAGGGAAAGGATATAAAGAGAAAGTATTAGAGGAAGAAAAGCTAAATAAGTTAGTATAGGAAAGAAATGTCAAGGATCTAACTATGGCACAATGAATGCTGAAATAAAAGAAGGTAGGATGAAGCTAAGATAATTTTTGATGGCAAGTTACTACAATTGTTAAAGAAGAAAAAAGATGTAAAAGAGACATAAATTGGTATCCACGTGCATTTGTGCATGCCAGTAATCTCAACACTTGAGATGCTCAAGGAGGAGGATCACAAGTTTGAGGCCAGGCTGGGCAACATAGTGAATTCAAGGCCATCCTGGATAAAACAGTAAGATTCTATTTCAGAAAGAAGGAAGGGAGAGAGGGAAGGGGGGGGGGGAGGGATGGGAGGAAGTGAGGAAAGCAAACAAATAAACAGAAACAATGTCCTGAGAGTTGCAGTAAATGCCTTATTATCACAGCTACTGAGGGGTTGAAGCAAGAAGATCACAAGTGTAAGCCCAGCCTGGGCAACTTACTAAGACTGTGTCTCAAAATAAAACGGACTGGAGATACAGCTGTGATACAGTGCTTGCCTAGCCCCTGACATCAGTCAATCAATCAACAGAAATAGGTGAGTTGAGTACTTAGTACAGTCAAAGGTGTAGAAAATCTAGCAAACAGAAATATCAATGTGGAACTTTTTTGTTTTAGTTTTTTGAGACAGAGTCCAGGCTGCTTGCAGCAATCCTCTTGCCTTATTCTCCCAAGTGCATGGATTACAGGTGTGCACCACCACATCCAGCTCTATTGTTAATTTATTTGTAAGTCTGTATCTTCTTCCATGCTAGACAGTTCTTAGGGTTATATTCACTTTCATAAATGGCTTACTCAGTCTTTAAGTAGAGATAAACTCATATACATACTTACAATTATTAAAATCTGACATTCTTAGGGACAGATCTATGTAGTTATGGTTTAGATCTAAACTAGCCCTAAAGCTGCATGTGTTTGGAAGGTGATTAGACTATAGCGACATAGCTGACTTGCTGGTAAGAGGTGAGGTTTGGTTGAAAGAGACAGGTCACAAAGGGCATAGCCCAGAAAGTCCCCCTTTCCAGCTCCTCCCTTGATTCTCGTCTTCCTGGCTGCTACGACATGAACGGCTTCCCTCCCACCTTCCATCATGCTGTCGACCATGAAAGATCTAAAATTTCTAAAAAATGCAATGTAAAATAAACTTCTTCGCCTTTAAGTTGTAGATGTATTTTGTCCCAGTGAAATACCTAAGACATATTTTATATTCATTTTTATCTGTCTTGTTCTTAGTTCTATAATTATTTTATGAAAAAGAACAGGGATAAGAAAGAAGTTATCAGTATTCTTTCTTGTACTTTTCAATGGTTTCCAATCCCTTTCCACTAATCCTGATCATGTTTTAAGGCTCCACTTTTTTTTTTTTGTCTTTTTCCTTTTTATCAGTACTGGGGATCAAACTCATGACTGCCTACTTGCAAGGCAGGCGCTTATGCCACTGAGCTAAATCCCCAGCCCTTAGGGCTCTACTTAAATAGTACTTCCTCAGAGAGTTTGCCTGATCATATCTAAAAAGAGCCAGTGATTGAATTCAAGTAGTACTTTTCCACTAAACTAACATAACTCTATTGGTTGAAGTTTATCGAACAAATGAAACATTATGGGTCTTTTACGGAATTAGTTTGTATCATTATTGTATAATTTTACCTATACCAAATGAAAAGTACAATGCAAAAATATAATTTTTATCTGGTTACAAAAATTTTACTTTCCAAATTATACATCATTAATAATATTTGTATTCTATTACTGGATGCAGAGGAATAGTCTATGGATTACCTACATTTATGTAAAAGAATTAAGTTCTATGTTTCAGTCTATTTGGACTGCTATCTCAAAATACCATACACTGAGTAATTTAAAAACAACAGAAATTTATTTCTCACAGTTTTGGAGACTAGGAAATCCATGATCAGGATGCTGTCAGATCTACTGTAGGTGAGGACTCATTTTATAAACAGTACCCTCTTGCTATGTCCTCACAGGGCGGAAGAGGCAACTAGCTCTCTGTAGTCTCTTTTGTAAAGACATTAATTCCATTCATGAGGGGTTATCTTCATGACTAGATAGAGTTGAGGCTGAGGTGTGCAGATATGAAAATCTCCTCTAATTTAGGATAGAAAGCTTCGTTTACTTTCCCTTTTCATAAGCCATGGAAACACATGGGAGTGAATATCTTGATTTTTAAATAGTTCCATCTGAGAACTAACATGTCTCAACCTACACTAACAGTATTGCCATGTTCACCATTTATATCCACAACTCTTGAGCTTCTATTCTTATGATTTATCACCTCCCAATGACTTCATCTCCTAATACCATTACACTGATGATTAGGGTTCAGTGTATCAATGAGGGGGTACACAAATAGTGAAACCACAGAACTGTGTTGTTTTGAGTTTATCTCCCACAGTCAAACTCAATGTTAAAAATATAGCTCTGAAATCACACTGAAAAGTCACCTGACACATTCTGTCTGCTGGTTTCATTTTCTCTGTTGCTGGGAGAACCTGGCTCTGCGATGCTGCTTTCTGTTCCTCCCATCAGTGGTCGCAAATGGTTTATAGATACTTGCTCAATAAATGATGTACCATGCTTATGGAAGTACCACCACTCAAATATCTGTGACAAAGAGAAAACACCTTTCACTTAAAACAGAATTTATCAGCAGATATAGGAACTCAAAACATTCTGTCAAGATTCCCTATTCAGACAATTATGAGACAAGAGAAAGGTAATAAAGGGAGGGCAAGAAAAGGAGGGTAATAGGGAAGATGGCTATTATCAAAATCTGTTACATGCACATAGGAAAATATCAAATCAAAACATAATGTTTTATAAAATTAATAGGCACAAATAAAAATATATTTAACCAAAGTTTTCCTGTTCAATTTAGAATTTTAAATGTACTATCTTCCCCTACAATTCCCCAATAATATATGCCATGTTAATAGTGAAATACATTTCTAAGAGATTTTTAACAAACTTAACAAACCTATACATTTATAATTAATATAAAAACAAGAAGTGTTTAATCTGTAAATAATTTAAGTGTTATGCTACACAGTCATTTTATTGTATCTGTAGCATAATTAAAATCTCTTTTTTAAAAAAATTAGTATATCCAGGGATTGTGGCACATGCCTATAATCCCAGCACTCAGGAGGCTGAAGCAGATGGATCACTGCAAATTCGAGGTCAGCCTGGGCTACAAAGTGAGTTCACTGTGTGCCCTGGACAAGTTACTTTACCTCTAACAACTCATAGCCCAACTGTCAAGCTTAATGTCCTGGGAGTTAGGTAAAGGGATAATAAAGCACATTTCTGGGTGTGCCTAAGTGGGCCATGTAGTCATGACCTTAGGGTCTACCCTGGCCCCTAGCATTCATCCATTGTCACTGTTCCCATGCTCTGCTTTCCAGCCAACATGAGTTGAGCAGCTTGGCTTCACCAGGCACTTAGCCATGACCTTTCTGCCTGAGGGTCAGCCAATCACAGACTGAAACATCAGAAACAGGAGCAAAAATAAACCTTTTCCTTTAAGCTTTGTGTGTCAGGTATTTGGTTCTACTGACAAAAAGCTGATCAATACAAAGAAGAAAAAGTAGCTCTCTATGCAGAATTAGTAGAAATTTTCACACTTCTACACTTAAACCTTCTCAACTGTTCATGTTAGGTTCCTTTGTAGTTCAGCTTAAATGACACTTCTTCCATGAACTTTTCCTAAATCATAGAACAGAACAGCTGTGTTATGTTCTTCCATTGGATCTTGTTTCCCTTTATAGTAATCTTTTAACTTACAATTGTTGCTCAGTTTTTCAAGCCCCAACCAACTTCTCCGTGAAGAAGTAACACATGCAGCATAGGAAGCTTCCCTGATGCTTCATATGCCCTTTTTTGCTTTACTTGTTACCCCTTACTACTAGTGAAAACACATTTGCTTTATTATCTTTTATTTTTCATCCCCAATACAAAAGAAGCTCCATGAGGACAGAAATTTGTTAATTGTAGTCAGTGCTATATGCCCAGTGCCTTAGTACAGTGATACTCAATACAACTTGTAAAATGAATGAATCAATGTCTATAATCACCTTTTAGACTAAATTCTATATGGGCAGAATCTATTTATCTGCCTGCCACAGTATTCCCAACTTCTAGAATAATGTCTGACAGAAAAATCTCTCTATAGTTACTCTATTTGGTAAATGGATACATAAGGAAATTTATGGGCTATTTCTTTAAAAAGTCCATTAACATACTATTACTCTGACAAATGTAGTGCATGAATGTATCTTTTAGTTAGAAGATAAACACATACTCATACTTAAGAAACTTTAATATTTTAAAAATTATTTTACTAGGACAACAAACAGTAATATACAAACACACAGAATTTTCAAACCTCTAGAAATATTCAGTAAATTACAGAATAAATCTGCCAAACAGGTGCCAAAAGCATGTAGTCATTTTGTACAATAAAACCTGATGATTAAATACAATATTTATAATGTCTGAAATTCAAAGCAGTTTTTTTTTTCTATTATGTCACTAACATTTGATGCTCAAATCTTAAAAAAGGCTTCCCCTTCTGCTCATTCTTCCTGAGTTAACAAGCAATTAATTACAAATATGGTAATGGTTTGGCTTCTCCTGTATGTTTTACTGAGAAATGTGATGAATCTTCTTTATATTTGTGTGCATATGTGTGTGTGTGTGAGAATTATAGAGAATTCAACCCAGGACCTCATACATGGTAGGCTATCAACCACTTTCCCAGATGAAGAGATGAAATTTCTTTAAAAACAACCAAAAGAAATTACACAAGCATACATTTTTCATATGACAGAAAAGATTTAAATTGGATTAAAAAAATAAGATTCACTAATAGAGTACCTGCCTAGTGTAAGAGGCCCTAAATTCAATTCTTAGTATCTTTTCAAGAAAAGAGAGAGAAATACTATCAAGGACTTGAAATCAGAGGGCAACAATAATAAACTGCCCTTCACTATATGAAATGCAGGTGGTTTTTATTAATGAAAACCTTTGGATCTCTTAAATCAACTTTTTACATTGTTTTGTACAATGTTACAAATAAACGATGATAGTAATTACTAAACTGGAGATACAGTAAAATGTTGGAATGTTGCCTAACATGTGCAACTCCTGGGTCCGAATCTCAGCACCATGCATAAACACAAAAATAATAAATAGCTAATATTTATCAAAATCTGACTATGAGTTGGGTGTGATGATGTATGCCTAAAATCCAAACTATTAGGAGGCTGAGACAGGATTGCGAGTTTAAGGCCAGCATGAGCAACTTAATGAGACTCTACTTCAAAATAAAATTTTGAAAAGGGTTAGAGAAATAACTCTGTGGTAGAATGTTCGCCTAACACATATGAAGTCTGGCTTTGATCCTCAAACAAAATATTTCTATAAGCCAAATATTATATCAAGGTTTGTACATGCATTATGTCATCTAATCCTCACAACGTCTAATTTTGGAGAGGAGAAAGATATTACAAATTTAAATAACCAGCTCTAGTTCATACCAATGGTTAGGTGCAGAGTTGAGTGTCTTATTCAGGTTCATCTAACTTCAGAGTGTCTAACCATACTTCTCAAATATATGTCAGAGTATATGTATATGTATGTGTTTAAGTGTACATGTACGATATGTTCAGGTAGTAAAACAATTATAAATTACAATTTTTGCTAATAAAAACTCATCAATATAGCAAAGGTAATAATACTATAGCTTTCAAAATGTCACTTGAATTTCCTAATTTTTGTATATTTAAACCCTCTTCTAAAAAGAAACAAAATTTTAAACCAGCTGTTTTAAACACCTGTTGATATATAGATGCACATTATTCCACTTTTTATGAATGCTTAAGTTAGTGTTTAAAGTTTATGTGAGTTGCCTGAAGTAATCAGTTAGTTAAGTGTCAGTCAACAATTCAAAATCATACCTTCTGGTTCCAACATAATGCTTTCTCTTTATTTTGGCTGTTTACAAATCTTTCACTCTCTCCCCACCAGCTCTGTCTGTTTCTGTTTCTCTGTCTCTGTCTCTCTCTCATATTGGGGACTGAACTCAAGGTCTTTGCACTGAACCACATTTCGCTATGCAGTTCAGGCTGACCTTGAACTCATTTTTTTTTTTGGTCTTTTTCTTTTTTATCGGTACCGGGGAAGGCTGATCTTGAACTCTTTTTTTTTTTTTTGGTCTTTTTCTTTATCGGTACTGGGGATTGAACTCACGACTGCCTGCTTGCAAGGCAGGCGCTTATGCCGCTGAGCTAAATCCCCAGCCCCCTTGAACTCATTTTGTAGTCACACTGAACTTGCAATAACCCTCCAACTTCAGCCTCCAAAGTGCTGGGATTACAGACATGCATACCATGCCCCGTCTTTTTTTTAAATTCTGAGACAGGGTCTTACTAAATTGACAGGGCTCAAACTTGTTATCCTCCTGCCTCAACCTCTTATAGTGCTGGGATTTAGATAGGCGTCATCACACCCTGCTTTAAATGTATGCTACTGACTAAATATGCTGAGATATGTTTAACTACAAATGGGCTTTATAAAGCAATAAATTATAAAGCTCATTTAACATATAATTTTTATGCTGAATTTATCAAGTGTTTTAAGAGAAAAATCCCTTTCTTTTACATTTCACTTGAACAAATGCTCAGCGTTAGTACCTGTTTAAAAACAAAGTCAAACACAAATACTGTTATTTTTACTAAAGATGGAGAGCACCACCTACAGATGAGAAAAAAGAACAGAAAAATCCACTGATCAAACATGGAATATTAAAGATTTCTATCTGTAGTAACATTTTTCCAAAATGTACAGTAGGAAATTCTAGACCTTAGGGATGATAATAAGGGATTATAAATCTCACTTTAGTATTTTAAAATGTTATCTTGTTCAAGGCAACGCTGAATTAAATAGGTTTCCATGTTGTGGGATTTCTTAGAACAATAATGGCTAAAGTTCACTAAGTACTCACTGAGCTAGCCACCCTGTTACAAGCTTTACACCAAACATCTCATTTAGTTCTCACAGTTCTTCAAAATGGTACTATTATTTTTCCTATTTAAAAGAGAAACTGGGACTTGGAAAAACTGCAGGCTGATTTGCAGACATATAAATATTAGTCTGTGCAATGTTGCTAAAATTAAAATATTGATTTTATAGAAAATCTGTATGCCTAGGTTCCCTTGAAAAGATCTGAAAAACTAGGACACCTGGTAATACTAGTCATAGGTTTATGTGGCAACAATTAATTAGCTCTACCCTCTTTTTACAAGGGATATGCACTTTCTGGATTATCCAGGTCTCAAACTAAATGATGAATTCATTTTTACAGCCTTCCCTTTCCACTCACTTGTTTGTTACTAATCAAGGACCTTCTGGCATTAAATTTCTAACCCTTTTCTGACTACAGTATACAAGACTTTAATATGCAACAAATACTGCCAATCTCTAAAAGTACAGAGACAGATGTACTGTTCCTCAAACTTATTTGGCTAGGTAATTTTTTTTCAAATGCGTAACACATTCTAAAAATGCTGATACATAAGTACTTAAATTATTGTAATAATATATAGAACCTTTAGACAAATATCAAAACATCAATTCAGAAAATGGAAACTACTTACAAATATCAGTCCTGATATCAAAGAAGATGTCCCTGTAAGTGCCACATAAAATTTGGGTGTCAGTGAATTTAAAAATCCTGTCACTGTTAAAAGAAAAAAAAAATTAAAGTTTTAAAAAAATACAAATTAGTTATAAATAAGTAGGTGTCTTTGAGTGGGGGGACATAAATAGTACAGATGCTTCTCAACTTACAGTGAGGGTATAGTCTGATAAACCCTTTGCAAATTGAAAATAGTGTAAACTGAAAATGCACATGATACCTTGACCTTTCCAAATATCATAGCTTAGCAGTGTAGTATACTGTATTGTTTATCCTCCAGATTGGGTACTTGACTGCCCAGGATTGGACAGGGTATACTGCCAACCAAGGAGAAGATCGAAATTCAAAATTTCTACTGAATGCATAAACGGCTTTTGTACCACTGTAAAGTTGAAAAAGTGTAAATTGAGTCATCTTATGAATATTCATTCTAAAAAGTTGTAATTTAAAAACCACTATAAATTTCCATTGTATCATATCTTAAAAATGAATTCACACATGTAAAAGTAGTATTTCACACTGTTGGTTAGTTGAGTAAGAAGCAAATTAAAATGAGGCTCAGGATAGCCTGGCTACAGAAGTAGCTCAATGGTAAGAGTGCTTGCTTAAGTGTTTGCATGAAGACTTTGTTTCAATCCTCGACACCACAAAATAATAATAAATGTATAAATAAAATAAGGCTCGGTATGTGCAAGGTCCTAGGTTCCATTTGTGCACCAAAAAAAGCAAGAAAAAAAAAAAAAGAAAATTTAGGTCATTTAGCTTTTGCCTTTGAACATAAAACCTAAAACATTAGTAAATCATAATTTAGATTAGAATTTTTGCAAAACTCTAAGAAGTTAAACAAACACACTTTCACAAAGGAGTTTTAAAAACACTCCATTTACTTTGGCAAAGTACAAACCAATGTTTCAAGTGGGAAAGTCAACAGTATAAATTTTTGGTAGATCAGTTATGAAGGCAAAATAGTTATAAAAGAAAAGTTACAAACAACTGTCTGCATCTAAAATCCTGGATCAGATTCTTCACTTCAAATAATTGTTTCATTAGTACTTTGAATTTTAAAAGTAATGAAAATATTCAGTAATCAACTACTCTGACCTAAGAAGTATGTCTAGTTAACATGTAGGAAAATTTTTTAAAACTCAATATTTCGCTGAGCATAAAAACTACCATTAGGCACTTGATTCACCTATTACAGACACCAAATTAGTTCTTTTGCTTGTTTTTAGTACGCTAGTTAAATCTGAATTTACATTGCACCTGCCTTCTAAAAAGCCTAAACCATTCCAGAATACTGTCAGTTTTCTATGTCATCTCATGGAATAGAAAGAGTGATATTTGCCTTCTCTTGTTACAGAAAAATTAACCACTGCTCAGCTCAAAAATATCACTCCAGGGGCTGAGGATTTAGCTCAGCGGCATAAGCGCCTGCCTTGCAAGCAGGCAGTCGTGAGTTCGATCCTGGTACCGATAAAAACAAAAAAGACCAAAAAAAAATCACTCCATAGAAATATATCCATCTTGTCCTGAGGCTGTTACTCAGTGGATGAAGGAAAGAAACGTAACAGCGTAAGAGGCCTTAGGTCTCATCTACTTCTTCCCGCCTACAATTAAAGCATAGTTATTTGTAGAACCCACGAGAATTTACACTTCCGACACCTCTTTGAATCCTTTAGCCTAGACTACATGATGTGCACAAAGCCACTGCTGTTTCTCTTTTCCTTGCCTATCCTACAATGATCCAACTTATTACTCAAGATGAAGCCTAGAATAAGATAAAATCATCATATTATAAAACTACGTTTTCTTAACAGAACTATTTTAAAACAAAGGAATGGTACGCTAAGATCATGGCATTTTCTGAGATCTCTATTACAGAGGTCCATGTCTTTGTTGCCTCAGGTGAGAGTTTCTCTTACACAGGAACGATTTTCAAACGACCCTAGGAATGGTCAAAGTGCCTTTAGATTGCATATCAAAGTCTGAGAATGCTCTTTTCCGTCTGTCCTACCACCGGAAGCCTGAAGTTCACCAGGCGGCTTTTCCTGCAGTAAACCCGCACAGCTCAGAGAGGGCAGATCTTAACAGGTCTTAGGGAGGAGCCCTTAGCTGCCTTTCAGTTTTGACAATCAGCTGCGGGGCTGTGGCCTAAGAAAAACAACACACTGATTCCCACAACAGCGACTCCTGCAAAGCCCTCCGCAGTCCCTAACACTCTCTGCCTCCGGCGCTCGCCACCCCCGCCCCCCGCCCCCCCCCTCCCGCCCCCCGTCAGTCCCGGGAAGTCTGGGCCTCTCACCCGCTGCCAAATGCTCACATAGCCTCAGCGGGACCCTCAGAGCGTAAAGCAGCCCCAGCCCCGCCACGAACCACAATGAGGCCCCAGCCCCTGCCATCCCGGCCCGCAGGCGCTCCTTCCAGCCCAGCGGAGGGCTCAGGCCGCGAGCAGGTGTAGAAGAAAATGCTGCTGCAGTCGCGACTTCACCCAAGTAGTCCCTGTCCGCCATCTTGCCACTCCCGCGGGTGCCGGCAGCGGGGAGGGGAGAGGGGCAGGAAACCGGGAGTCGGGAATCCTGGGATAGTGATGGGTCTGAAGTTGGCTTTGTGAAGGCTGGATCCTGGGGAATCCCGCCGCAAAGATGTAGAAAGTGGCAGAAAAGTCCCAAGACTGCCACAAAACTGTCCTTTTGGGGTGGGCTAGGGGTCGATAGCGGTATGTATTCTAGAGGATTTGGACTAAGAAGTGACGCTTAAGTGGTTTTGCTTCTACACGAGTTGAGGTCACCTTTCACCCTAATCCCAAAATTGGGAAAGCTACCGATCGTTCCCGGGGCTGAGCAGCATTTAGTACTTTGAACTCTGCTGCCATAGAGATTACTGATACCAGGAAAATTTAGGAGTAGCAGTAGATCCGCGATCAGTCCAAACACGCTGCAAACATGCAATAGATGAATTGGTAAATGACTGTAACTCAAGGAAACATAATAAACCTCAATTCCCTTTAGGAAAACCCAACTTCCTGGGGTGCGAGATCTAGAAACCGTCACTCCTGCGCGCTTTACTGACGCGACGCCCTGGCTGTCGGCGTTTCCGGTCCGGTCTTTCCTACAGTGATTCTATCTCTCGGTTTCCTTCCCGGCCTGCCTCGCGCCGCTGCCGGGCTGGGCCAGAGCAGCCCAAGATGGCGGACTTTGAGGATCGGGTGTCGGATGAGGAGAAGGTAAGGGGATCTGCCCCTCTCTCACCTCCTCCTGCGACGGGGAACAAGGGTGTTACCCAGCTGCGGCGGGAAGCCTGACCTTGTCCCTGAGAAAAAGGAGGTTCTTGGTTCGAGCTGGCAAACATTCTCTGCAGTCGGGACACTTCCCTTTTAAGGGGCTTTCCTCTGCTTCTCGGTGGCCCTAGTTCTCCGTTCCTCAAGTCTGTCCTTTTCCTTTTGGATCTAAGGCACCCCCTCCTGTGAGAGAAGCGACTTTTCCCATGTTGAATCTTGGCCGTAGACTCTTGTGTAATTGTAAGCGGGGCGACGGTGATGTCGCGACTTACCAAGCAGCAGTTATTTTACAGCCCTTAGGCTGTTTGGGCTCTGGCCTTCCCCCCAACCCGGTTTTAGGTTTGATTTGGGCGATTTTAGGGCCAGCCACTTCCTGGTCTAGGTGGCTTCTTAACTTCCCTTTTGCTCCTCCTTCCTCAGGAAGTGATCTTGCTGTCACGACGGCTCGACAGGGAAAGGTCCCTGAATTTTGTTCATTTTACTTACCGCACATCCACTTTTCTCACGTTCTGTCGGCTAAACCAGTTTGCCATTATAAACGTGTAAGCCTCAGAGCATTTGCTTCAGAATTTGAACACCGCTTTTCTGCAGGTGCTCCCTTGAGTATAGGAACATAAGCCTCCAGGTGACTCCATCCCTTGGCGCCTTACTTGTCTTAATGATAATTTTTAAAAGTTTTCGGCTTCTTGTTAAATTTAGAGTGGCCAGTAAATTTTTTTAACTGCAGGTTTTAGATAGCGCATAATTATCATGTTAACATGTTCAGATATAAATCCAAAAAAGAAGCTTGCTTTGATGCCCTATTATAGTTGAATCCGTCAGCGTGCAATTTGTGTACATACTTATTTCTTTAAAAATGGCCTAAATGCAAGAGCATGTTCTGAGTTAGCTAGGATAACTATTTTTCTCACAACAGTACAGCTTTTAAAAACAGTTTGACAAGTTTCCAGTAAATACAGCGTTTTATGGTCTGTAGAAATTAAAGTATTTTCACCAGATGCTCCCTATACAACAATAATGTCTGCTTCCTACAGTGATTATTACAAAGTGTATAGTGTTCTGCAAATCGATCTGGGTTCATTTTACTATAATAAAAATAGACTGAGAGATGTAGTGATGTAGGCCTGTAATCCCAACATGGGAGGCTGATGCAGGAGGACTGCTGCAAGTTCAAGGGCCAGCCCAACTACATATTGAGTCCCTATCTCGAGAAAAAAAGAAAAAGAGATTGGGATGGAAGAAGGGACTGGTAATGATCCAGAAACACATTTTGCAGAATAACTTGACATAACATACCTACATATGATACACCATTTGAAATGCTGAAGAAGATGCTCTACCCTTAAAAACCATTGAACAACACATTAGTATTAAGTTTTCTGTCATTTGGGAATTGATTGGCATAAGTGTTGAAGGGTTAGGGAAAATATGAGTTTATGCTGGAAAGAAAGCCATAAAATTGTTTATTCTAAGGTAGTTAACAATTTGGATAAATTACAGTGAAAATCATGGGGTAAAATGCTTCTTACCCCAATTGATGAGCCACTTATTTGAAACACAAATACTATTACAACAAAATTTCACAAATTAGGTAAAACTGGGTATGGTGGTCTATACATAAAATCCCACTAGTTGGGAAGCTGAGGCAATCAAGTTCAGGGTCAGCCTGAGCAATTTAGCAAGACTGTCTCAAAATTAATATTAAAAGTTAGCTTAGAACTAGTGCACCTTGGGGCTGGGGATTTAGCTCAGCGGCATAAGCGCCTGCCTTGCAAGCAGGCAGTCATGAGTTCAATCCCTGGTACCGATAAAAACGAAAAAGACAAAAAAAAAAAAAAGAACTAGAGCACCTCCATGTTCAGTCTTCAGTACCATGAAAGAAAATAGTTGGGTAAAGATAAACTTAAGTTTATTGTATCCATGTGGTACACATTTACCAATTCACCAGTGTGGTTGGGTTGTTGTTTTTGGCATTGGGTTAGAATGCCTTTTTTTTTTTTTTTTTTTTGGTACTGAGGATCTAACCCTTGACTTGCACTTGCCAGGCAGGTGCTTGTGCCACTGAGCTAAATCCTCAACCCCTTAAAGTGCCTTTTTTTTTTTTTAACTAAATTGGGAAAATGTATATATTTCAAAGTGCAAATTAAGACACCTTAGGCTACTGACAGTGTTTGAGTGTTTGAGTTAATATTAGGCTTAATTTTATAATAGATCTGATGTTTCCTCTTATGGCACATTTCTAGTAAGCCAATCATAATTAGTAGGGTAAATCTGTCAAAAAGTATTAATGAATTTTATTCATACATAGTAAAAGAGTTTAGATTGTCTTATCTTCATTAGTGTGGATAAGTATAACTGGTATGGTAAAAAAATCCATATTTGTTTTGTTTTCTTTTTGAGGCAGGGTCTCATCATGTAGTTCAGTCTGATCCTGAATCCCTGTTGGCCTTGATCTCCTCCTGTCTCAATTTTCCCAGTTGAGTGCAGAGATCACAGATATGCACCACCATATCACCAGTCATAATCCTACGATTTTGAGATACTGAAATTTTGTTAAGATCCTATTCCAAGATAAAACCTATTTGTATATCTGTCAGTCTGTTAGGTAAAAAGGGTGCCTTGACTTGTAAGATAGTGTTTGAGTTTTCCTTCAGTGTCATGCCTATCTTGCTCCCTGTCCTCTGTCCTTCAGATTCTTTTTAACTGAATTCAAGAATTGAGAAAGTATTTTTCCAGCAAGACTTATTGGTACATCCTGGGAGTCATAGATAGTAGTTAACCCTTTTATGAGATTTTTTTTCCTATAAGATGTTAACAATAAACTTAATTTTAAAACAAAAGTGTTCTGAATTTTGAATTCTTGAAGAAATTCTAAAATAATTTTTTTCTTTTTTGCCTTTAAAACTCAGCTTCATTTGTTTTGGGTGGGTCTGTTTTTGGGTATTGCCTTATGTTGCCCATCAAAGCCTCCCAACTCAGGATCCAGGCTTCTGCCTCATCCACTGGAGTGCTGGGATTATAGGCATGCCCTACCACACTCAGCTGATTTTTTTTTTAAAGCATGTATGCTGTGATATCAAATATATTTTAATACTGCTTTTCAACTTTGATACATTTTCAGAAGGCAGTAGACTGTTTTAAATTTGATGATGGAGCTGGCCATGGTAGCGCATGCCTATAATCCTAGGATTCGAGAGGCAGAGGCAGGAGGATCCATGTGAGTTCAAGGCCAGCCTGAACCGTATAGAGAGACTCTGTTGAAAAATAAATAAATAAAAGTAAATAAATAACATAGCATTAAAAATATAAATAACACTTGATGATGGTATTCTCTGATTTCCTTGCAGGAATTGCTATAAAGGGTAGTAAAATCCATGCTCATAATTTAACTTGAAAAGTTTTATCACTTTATAAAAAGGAAGTTGTTTTTTTTTTTTTTTTTAAACTTGTGGCTTGTTACCTGAAATGGTCATGATGAGCTGTCAAAATAAAGCAGGAAGTGAAAAATGTAAGAGCATGCAGAAATAAATGCTTTTAGTTTTACCCTGGAGTTCAGTTTAAAATGAGCTCCATTCTTGTAGTTTTATGTACTCTTTACTTGGTTGTAAATGCTTAGCAAAACTAAAGAGATGCTAATTAGGAAACTTGAACTATGAGATGAACTGTTTGTTTGGGTTCCATCCTCTGTTTCCTTTATTTCATGATTCAGCATTTTGTAAACACGCAAAGAGAATTTTAGGAGTGAAGAAAGTGTGATTAAAATGCTTTATTCTCTTGAGCCTTGCTAGTAGAATACTTTGTGTGCAACTTCAAAATTACCATAACTGAGAAATGGACCTGTATATTTTTAGTTAGACAATTGTAAGGCATTGTTTTGAGAAACAGATTTATCAAAATCTGCTATTTGAAAGAGATGTAGAAAATGTTGTAAATGTGGCTGGGAGTTTAGCTCAGTGGCATAAGTGCCTGCTTGGCAAACGCAAGGTTGTGAGTTCAATCCCCGGTACCAAAAAAAAAAAAAAAGAAAGGAAAGAAAATGTTGTAAATGGATGAAGGGATTTGAGGGTTCTGATAGAGCTTATGAAAATGTACCTTTAGAATGGATTTCCTTGAATATGTGTTACCTCCTTAAGTAAATGAGTTATTACTTGCAGAATCAACTAAGCCTAAAGTTTACTTGCCATGATAGTTTTCTAACAAATTATCAACTAGCATTAATATTACTCTCCTTACTTCCTTTTAGTTTTGCCAAGTAGTGGTCATATAATCTGTTACAGAATCCTAAGTAAGAAGCACAAAGCCTAAGCAGGTGCCCAGTCTTGTTAAAAGTACAGGTTAACAGTTTATTTCAGGGCATTAAACTATTTCATTAAAACCAGCCTTAAACTGGGGCACACCTTTAACACCAACACTAGGAGACTGAAATAGGAAGATTGCAAATTTGAGCCCAGCCTGGGCAATTTAGTGAGCTCATGTCTCAAAAAAAATTTTAAAGGGCTGGGGCTGTAATTCAGTGTGAACAATCTGGGTTCAGTTCTTAGTGTCTCCAAGGGAGAGAGGGAGGCCTTAATACTAAATAAATAGTATAATTAAAAAATTCAGACTCCAGGTATGTCTGATTCTAACCCCTGCTTTAAAAAAAAAAAAACTATCAGTTTTTTACATACTATGAATGAAAACCAAAATTGAACCATCCATTTAAGAAATTGTAAATAAGAGGCCAGGGATATAGCTCAGTGGTACAGCACCTATCTGGCAAGTGTGAGGTCTTGAGTTTGATTCCCCGTACCAAAAATAAATAAATAAATTATAAATAAGGTATTGTGGTATAGTGGAAAAAAGTGATTTGGGTTGTTAGGAGATTTAGCCTCTCCCTATTTTGCATCTAGTCACTTGAGTGATTTTTGGAAAAAACAACCTGAGTGGGCCTCATTTTCCTTCTAAAA